GTTTGATCCCCACTGCAAGTGTAAACGGGGATTACTGTGGTGAACGAGGAGATCACGGTTTTGGGGGGGGGAGCCCAGGGCTGGGGCAGCATGGGGTGCAGGTGGGGGGGGGAAAGAGAGAGCCGAGGGCTGGGGTGGCAAGGGGTGCGGATGGGGGAAGCCACTGGTGTGAGGGGAGAGAGCCCAGGGCTGGGATGGGGGGCAGCCAAAAAATTTTTTTGCTTGGGGCGGCAAAAAACCTAGAGCTGGCCCTGGCGGCCGCAAGCGCTGGGAGCCGGGGGGGACACGGCGCACTAAGGGGAGGAGGCGGAGCGGAGGTGAGCTGGGGGGGGTGGGATGGGAAGCTCCCAGTGGATGCAGAGCACCCATCAATTTTTCCTCATGGGTGCTCCAGCCCCAGAGTGGGCGCCTATGAGCAGCCCTTGCACTAGCTCTGTAGAAATATAACAAAAGGCAAATCTCTGTCCCAAACAGCTTCCAATCAGAGCAGGACCAATGCCTGAATTTTTGGCAATTTTGATGAGTTAGGGGGACATTTCATTTCGGATCAGACTGAAAAGGGAAATATTTTGAAATTTTTGGCAAATTGTAAAATAAAAAAAAACCTCACCAAAAAACATATTTTGGGTCAAATACGACGTTTAATTTGACCCAAAACAAACTTCCAGTTTCAAGCACTTCTATGTTCTTAATTTAAAATAAAATTAAAAGAAACTGACAAACAAAGGTGTTTTAAACCAAAAAAATCGAAACGTTTTGCAGGGAGAGGGGTATAACTTGGTTTTGTTTTCAATGAACAATGTGATGAAAGCGCCATGAACTCACGGAACAATTTGATGTCACCAAACCTGCTTCTTTTGCTGAAAAAGTTTTAGCTGAAAGATGTTTGTCCTGCTCTACATACCATCAACACTGGGCCAAATTCCACCTCCCCAGGGCAGGGGAGTAACAAACCCAGAGAAGTGTCTGGCAGTAGTCAGGGAGAGGGGAGTCTGCGATATGTAGCTATAGGCTATTGTCAAAGGAAAGCTGAAGGAGACAGATGCCTCAAACCCACTGAATTGCCCTTTGAGTTGGGTGCCCAACGGCCTTAGCTCCTTTACTCTCAGTCACAGAGGGGTGTGCTAGCGTAGTGCGTGTGTGTGACAGCTGTGCAGAGAGTGTGTGCGTGTGTGAGAGACAGGCCTTGTTCTATATCAGGGGTTAATGGCTTGCGCCCAGAAGATATCGGGGTGTTTTTTTCATACAGTTTAAGTCCATGTACCGAGGTAAAATCACCTCCCTACCTCTGCTCATTCCTCCCATTTATCCATCCAAGGATCGCATTAGCCTTTTGCCTCAGCGTGTCACCGAGAGCACGTGGCCAGTGCTTGTCCACTGCGTCCTCTAGATCCTTTTCAGACCCTCTGCTTTCCAGCAGACAGCCCCCGACTCTGTAGGCATAGCTGGCCTTCCTTGATCCTCAGTGGATGCCAGGGCTGCCCAGAGGACTCAGGGGTCTGGAGCAAAGCAATTTTGGGGGCCCCTTCCATAAAAAAAAAAAGTTGCAATACTATAGAATACTATATTCTCATGGGGGCCCCTGTGGGGCCCGGGGCAAATTGCCCCACTTGCAGCCCCCCTCTGGGCAGCCCTGGTGGATACCTTCGCATGTGGCTGTATTAAAACAGTTTGTTGGAAAGGGCCCAGCTTACCAAGTGAGCCAGATTGCTCCGTATGACTGCCCTGGACTCACTAGTACCCACCGCTCCATCCATCTTTGTGTCATGTGCAAATTTCACCAGCAGTGATTTTATATTTACATCCAGATCATTGATGCAGCTGTTGAAGAGCATTGGGCCTACCGCGGATTCCTGCTGAACCCCCTCCACTCTGTCATTACCCAGTTCTTAAGCCATTGAACTGTTGCCCGATTTATAGTGTATAGGGCTCATTTCGTAATCAGAATGTGGTGCTGTACTAAGTCAAACACCTTAAAAAAGTCCGTCTATTACATCTACCCCATTACCCGGCATAGCCAAACCAGCACGCTCCTCAAAAGATGAAATCAGGTTTGTTTGGCATGACCTATTCTCCATAAAACCATGCTGAAATTGCACTGCTATCCTCTAACAGGGTATCAGTTGAATCCTGTATCAAGTTTTCCATTATTTTGCCCAGGACTGAAGCCAAGTTAACCAACTGGCCTACCTGGGTCATTCTAAGTAGCACTCTCCCAGTCTTCTGGAATTTCCCCGCTGTTCCAAAATGGATTAAAAATTAACAGCAGCCGGTCCCGAGAACTCCTCTGAGACCTTAGTGTCTCCCGTTGCCAGGCTGCCACGAAGGAGGCTGCATGGCCTAGTGGATAGAACAAGGAATTCCCAGCTCTGTCATGGGGTGATCTTGGACAAGCCACTTTCCCTGTGCTGTGCCTCAGTTTCCCCATCTGCAAAAGAGGGATAATGACACTGGCCCTCCAAGCAAAGCGCTTTGCTGCTGAAAGGTGCCAGATAAGAGCTGGGGATTAGAATTGAGGGAGTATGTAGACAACTCTAAATTACCCAGTGGCAATGGCCATGATGAGTTGTTACCCCCAGTGGGGTAGAAGAAGCCAGGAAACCCCACCGATGCCCCATTTCCTCCCTCCAGCCCCACCTCTGCCCCAGCTGTTGGGCTTGGAGGTAGCAGAAGGGCCATGATGGCTCCCTACACTGCAGCGATCCTTAGAGCTGGGTCCAGGGCCACTCCCCAGCTGTGGGGGGCAGAGGAAAAGGTGGGAGCCCCATTGCCTGGGCTGCTTGAAATCAGGCTGAGCAAAGCCCCGCCCCGGAGGACTAACCTGCCCTAGGCCCTGGCTAAGAATAGGGCTGCTTAGTGCCCTGGGGATCTAACAGTGAGAAGTGCTTTCTGATTGCAGGCCTGGTAAGTAGCCAGTGACGACCCTCCGGGCCCGTCGTTCCTCACCATGGCAGAGGACGTCCTCAGTACCACCCTGTCCGTGCCGGGAGTTGCCCTGCCTGTGCCAGGAGTTGCCCTGCCCATTCCGACCCCGTCCCTGACCTTGGAGCAAAAGGCAGCCTTTGTCTTCGTCTTCTTCCTCTTCATCTTCCTGGGCCTTTTGATTGTCCGCTGCTTCCGGATCCTGCTGGACCCGTACCGGAGCACGTCCTCCTCCACCTGGACGGACTACATGGAGAAAGACGCGTCCGATTACCGCCTCCCCTGAGCATGGGCCTGGGGCTGCAGGGGGCTCTTAGCAAGGGGAGAGGAGGGATTCCCATGACCCAGGCAGCCCGGCCTGCAGAGCTTGCCAGGACTCTCGCTTTCAAGGCAACAAGCTACCTGCACATAGGAACACACCCTGGTGGTGGTTGCCCTGAGGTCAGAGCAAGCCCTTAGGCATGTGCCACTGGCTGGAAGGATGCGACCGCAGGCACTGACCAGCGGCCCTCTGACTGCTCATGCAACCGCCGGTCAAGTCCCACTAGGGAAAAAGGGGAGCTTTGTCCTTCGGTCAGGACAACAGATGGTGCCTGAACTCTAGCCCTCGGCCGGGTTACACAGGACATGATGCTCTCCTCGGCTTCTCCTTCCCATCTGAGGTGGAGTGACAGACGCAGTCTGTACACCTGTAGAGTCTCGCTGGCCCATGCAAGGTTAGGGAGGGACCTGAGAACGGCCAACACTCCTGCATTTATCAGGGGATAAAATCTGGATGGGGGAGTTGGGCAGTTAGCAAGAAGTCACAGTCATCCCACAAGGACATGAGGAGTCAGCCGGTGGTGTTGAACCTAATCCAATTAAGTCACATTCTACCCTAGAACCTGTCTTTGTGCAAGAATCACACGGATGCAGATGATAAAATGGGATAGGAATCAACCAGTCAAACCAGACAGCGGTTTCCACATTTGATTACCCTGGTACCTACTGAGGTCATCAAGGTCTAGAGATCTAGGGACTTACATCTCATCATGAGTCTCTGAGCAACTCTGATAATAGCTCCCTTCACTAATGAGCAACACTCGTCTTCACACTGTAACTTGACGATTAACTCCCAGGTGGTCCAACAAGTACTATCAAAGGCAACAACTTTTGGATGTATGCTGCACAGGCAGGAGCAGACGTGGCTTGGTTTTCCTCTTCCTAGCCACGTTTTTCACTCTTGCGTGGTCACCTTTGCTCTTCCGACTATTCAGGGTGAAATCCCCAACATTTCACACGCATTTGGGGTAGGACCCGTTACCATTCAGGACTTCTGGGGTGAGGGTCAATCCCAGCAGCACCACACTGGGACAAAGGCAGGTGCTTTACAGTAGCACTTTTTCTCTTGAGTTTCTCTATCACCTATTGACAAAATATGAAACAATGGTGAGGCTCTGACCTACCTATCCTCCCTTCGCACCATGAATCAGCTGGGCAGGAGAGGTGTATAGACACACTGTAGGAGGAAGCCAAAAAGCCTTTTTGCTTGATGCTGCCTATACACGAGGCCAATCCTGGCTATTTCAGTGTTCTGAGTGAGCACTGGTGTCCTTGAAATCTAGCCTGTTAACTGTTTGTACTGATGGAGGGACAGGAAATGCCTAGATAAGCCACCCTGTGCTTTTCATCTTCTGGCAGCAAGCTGCTACTCTTCAGTGGTTTCTCAGGAAAAATTATTATTTCTCAGTTGTTTCACAGCAACACTAAACGTCTGCTAAGCTATTATAAATCAATGTGGCAGCAGAAGCAAAATGGATCATAACTATCCCTAAAAATGTGGGTTGTTAGTCAATACTTCACTGCAAGAGAGGCAATACACCTGGAATTTTAAAGATTATTCCTTGTTCTCTCATTGAGCAGACAGCCTCTCTGAAACCAGACTAATCCAATACCAGGGGCATTCTAACTACAGGCAGTTCCCCAGGGTTTAAACTCTTCTGAGCTAAACAAATCATCGCCATCAGACCAAAAACCGGCATTTAAAACACCAGGGGTAGGACTTATTTTCTGCAACCAGGATCCATTCATTAGGAATCCGCAGACTTTTGCAGTAAGTGTATGAAAAATGAGATGCACAGAAATCGATTTCTTAACAAAAGACACTAGCTGCCACATAGGCTTTCTGTGAAGTCTTTCCTTGCAAGGAGGTTGTGCAGATGCTGCAGTTATTATAAGTTGCAGAAAAGCCCAGGGCTCAAGCCTGCTCTATTGTTACACAGGTATAAATCTGGACTAACTCCTCTAAAGTCAGTGGCTTGACACCTATGTAACAGAATTTGGCCCTCGGTCTAATACTCAAGTCAAATCACCCATAACCATGCAGAAATCCACACGTAATAAACATGTTAATATACTTACATCTGCAGCCTAAAAGTGCCACAGAAACCTTTGAGAGACTCCCTCCACATGGTACACTGCCACAGTTCAGCTCTGCAGAGACTCTTGGTACAAATGAGAGGGCGTTCTCTGCGAGGCAGCCTTGATTTTGTAACTCATTCCCCTCTCCTGCTTCAGTCCCCCAGAGCCCAGATTTGTTGACCTGCTGCAAAAGCCACCTTTCCCTGCTCTTTGTCAAGACTGTGGAGGAGGGTGCGGGCTAAGGATTTTAAACATTTGAAGAAATAAATACATCAGATAATTAAGCCTCATGGCACAGCTGTGAGAGATACCAGTTCTATACAAGGCTAAAAACCTTGTCCAAAACTTACCAAGCAAATCCATGCGGGAGAAGGGAATAGGGATCAAAACTTGACTCCTACTCTAAAAGGACTTCAGCAGCCTGAGTATTTTGTGGTAGGGTAGCTGGAATAAATCTCTTCTCCCAGCACTGAGTGGAGTGTGGAATCTTTTGTACATTGGATAGGGGCACTAGTTCTGACCCTCTGACTACTGTATTCCTCCTGGGAAGGTAATGTGGCAGCAAGGCTGTACATTTTAATACTGCAGAGATTTTTGATCACTTTGTTCCTCTGTGAAAGTCCAAGAGGAATGTGGAGATCTGGGGTCGCTTTACTCATTACTAAAATACAGCCACCTCTGGGGTGGAACATAAAAGTATTTAACAACTCACAGCAACACTAAACAGTTTGCTACTGAAAGTTCAGAAATACACTCATAGGGGGAAAAAAGTCCTATGGGATTTTTAAATCCCAGTACTGAAGCGCTGAATAAAATCTCAACTGCAAATACAAGTGTTACAGTAACCCATACTGAATGCAAGGAAAAAAGGCAAGCATATACATGACTGGCATTTTATTAGGAAACATAGTACAAAAATGTATATATACACGTTTAAATTTAACATTTGAAAACATTCTAAATATAAAAAGAATACTTAAGCTTTCTAAAGGCATCCTGTACATAAAGCTATTAAGAATCTTTTACAATTCTGGGCACTTAAATGCTTAATCACAGTGCTAATTGGATTTGTAATGGAGTTTTTGTAATGAAGTGGCAAATAGGATTCTGCCATACTGATAATAAATATACACACAACCCCTAGGATGTTAGGGATTCTGATCTGATACGGGTAAGGTTGCAGAACCTGAGCATTTCTCTCCAGAGAACTGCAAATCTCAAGATAAGCCAGGGAACACTGGTCAGTTCATGCAGGTGGCAGAGTAAAGGAAAACGCCAAGAGGTCTTTGTTAAGTGACTGAGGGTAGGTCCACACTGCAATAAAAAACACACAGCACCAAGTCTCAGAGCCTGGGTCAATTGACTCAGGCTCACAGGATATGCTGCGGGGCTAAAAACTGCAGTGTAGACATTTGGGTTCAGGGTGGAGCCATGCCGCACACTCAGCAGTTTTTAGCCCTGAAGCCTGAGCCCAAGTCAGCTGATCTGGGCCAGCCACAGCCATGTAGCGGGTCTTATTGCAGAGTAGACGTAACCTAAGGCCTTGTCGACATGGGGAAGTTTCCCAGCATAGCTCCAGTGGAATAACTGGTCTGGTGTAACTCCCTCTGAGGACACTATTCTACAATAAAAGTGTGTCCACCCAGGGGAATTATACCAGAATGGCTTTAGTTACTCCCCTATGGAAATTTCCCATCAGAGCAAACAAGAGCTTTTTGGGAGGACATTATTTAAAATCTAAAGGAATCCAACAGTTTGGTTAAAGTTTACACGACCTGCTTAATGTTCTTTTCCTCTCCTCTGGAGAAGTTTTGCAAAGTTTAAGTCACAGTTTAGAATAATGGAACCACTGATGTAGAAACAGACACGGGCACAATTCAACTTCTATCCCAATTACAACCAGATCATGTTCACCTCATATGACAAACATGTTAAATGGATGTGAATTAAACTAGATTGCAGGTGGAAACCTAATCCCTACAGTCAGGACTCAGGCAAATCTCATGGATTTCAAAGAATTTTACCTGAGTAAAGACTGTGTATGCAGACCCATTAAATTGCTAAATGTTGTGTTTCCATTCTGGGATTCTTTTGCTTTAGGGTAGCGTTTAGTCACCTAAAAATATCTTAATATAAAAAAGGAGAAACCAAGTAAGTTAAAAATAGCACTTTTCAATAATGTTCATTTGAAACCAGTCAAATTTCTCCCGCCTCTCCCACTCAGAAATGCAAATCCCCAAATAAGACAGAACTTGTAAATTGGTCTCTTGAGTTGGAAATTCAGGCAGGGTGTGTGGGAGGATGAGTTTTTTTTTTTAAATAAGTGCTATGTACAGACAGCTCCCTTTCTGCACACAGGTTAAGATGAAGAGCTTATTTTAGGCTTTTACATTTTTTGTAATCCTTTATTGCTCGATTAAAAATCTGTAGGGTTTGGAGGAGATGAGCTAATGCAGGCCTTGATCCTGCAAACACCCAGGCATAATTTCAATGGGACTATTCACATGCATAACATTGCTCAGATGCATAAGGGCTGGCAGGATCTGGGCTTAAGACAAATCTCTACATTTTTTCCTTGTCCCTTATTTAAGAACAGCCCATAAAATATCTATGTAGCCTCACCTAGCCTTGTGTTAACCAGAATATAGCACTGCCTCTCTGTTCAAAAGCCAGCATTCATCATATAACTGCCATGGATAAGGGCATACAAGAGTTGGAAATTGTCTTTTTGAATGTGCTGCAGTCTTAATTCAGACATGGTGCATGAAAACTTCTAAAATAAAACACAAAATGGTGAATTTTTCACACTATACAACATTAAAAGAATACTGTGCTTTTTTTCTTTAAAAAAAAAATTGACTCATTTTTAAATCCCAGCCCCCTTACGCAGTATACTCAGAACTTTTTTTTTTTTTTTTTTTTTTTTTGAGAGAGAGAGAGAGAGAGAGAGAGAGAGAGAGAGAGATCTGTTTCCCAGTAGAAGGGTCTTTTAAGCAACATTGAGACAACATAGGGGAAACAGTTAAAATGACTATACACAAAGTGCTGTCAAATGCAGACTTTTTGCCAGCTTTTCAGTTATTGTAATCTTAGGTCTTGCAAGTAACTACAGTAGGCACAATTTTCAGGCAAATGTAATTTAAACTTGACAGTGTCCCTTTAAATCTGTAAACATTTTGTTAAATCAATTTCTCTCTGGATTAAGCCTTGTGATGCAATTACACAGTGTACAATAAAGAATTTCAGCTCAGACAATTGTAACATGTACAGAAAACAAAGCAAAGGAAATGAATGTATTTTCCAATTCAGAGGAAACACTGGTTCTGTTTTATAGTATTGAAGTATATAGTGAAAATGTAAAATAAGTAGGAGTCCTGTTTCTCCAAACTATCATTCATTTTAAAAATCCATTATTAAAGCCTTCCTCAAAACATCTTTTGGAAAAGATATAAAGTCTTTTTATAAATAGTTACACTGCTTATAAATAAATGCACTTTGATACATAAAACCAGTAAGTCCCATGGTAGATTTTACAATACAAAGAAAGTAGTTTCATAAGTCTTTCCTAAAGCGGTTAGTGAAAACAACCAATAAAATACTGTTAAAACTTAGCCAACTGTTTTAAACAAGAAAAACCACACCACATACACAATTTCTGCTTGGACTGGACTGCCAGGGCATACCTTTAAATTGCACAATATTACAAAGAAAAAAAACCCCCAAGAAATATTTCTGAAATTTATGGACTGTTAAGTTTTAATTGCACTACAATAAGTGATGAAAACACAGCCAAATTCACCTTGGTAACTCCATTGATTTTAGGGGGCTTATAGTAGGGGTGACTCTGGCCCACTACTTTAAAAGAGACGAATATCGGACACCCTTCCTACTTTGGGTATATACACAAATGGTGCAACCACCCTCCGCATAGGTTATTGCCTTCGAATGGATATATAAATGTGAGTCAAGATGGCACTGAATTCACATTGTGCTGAGTTCCATTATTGACACTGCTACTAGAATGTCTTTCTGCAGTATCGCAGATTATACTCTTACCTGTATGTTCTGCAAATAGCAAGTGTCCATAAGATTACAGGTTATTAAACTCTTCCCAACAAACTGTTCATGACTGACTCACATCCCCCCCTTCCCCTCTCCATCTTATAAACCAGCTTCTTTCCTATCCCCAATCCAGCTGCAAGAGGACTGACAGCATGTTTTGCTGAATCTTGCTTTTTGATTCTTAATTGTTACATCCATCACATCTCCAAGGAGATGCTTCGAAGTTTGGTGAAATGCAACTTTCCAAGAAGGACCTCATTTCATTTAAATTCATTTTACTGGATTTTAACTGGGTTTATATCGCTGACCAGCCTTTGCCTGGCTTGTCCTTTCTTAGATCACTAGTTGGGGTAGGTATTGCATTCTGTGCGTTTGTACAGCCCCTATTACAACATGTCCTCAATCCCAATTGAGGAATCTGGACACTACCAAGATTCATAGAATGATATTTTAGCAGTGATTGGCTCTACCAAAGAAATTTGGCCCTTTTTGTTTCTCATTCTGAAGTTGCTGTCCAAAGCTGTATGCTTGATTCTAAAAGTCTGGGCCTCTTCACTGTTACCTTCTATCCACAAGAACTAAATAGAGGAACATTTACATAGAAGAGTTTGACATGCCTATCTTCTACTACTAAGGAGTCAAAGTCCCTCTCATGGCTTCCACTGCAGAGACAAAGATTTGATCAGAGTGACGATGTAAGCTTCCCTAGTTACTGATTCATGACTCCAGCAACCAACACTTACTTTGGGGGAAGATGGGGAGCTAGACAAAATAAACCATCCCTAAAAAGTCCATCTAGACAAGGAGAAAAAAAACTCCCAACACTGAAATCAACAAGAAATTATTCCAAAGCCTAACTGGTAGATACCCCAGTTTTGTGCCACGTAACACTAGACTGAGCAAAACCTCAGAAAATATAGTAGTCCTGTATTGATAGGGATATGGACTGTTTACCAAACAGAGTTGGAAGAGACCTAGCTTCTACAATTCTTTCTTTCAAATTAAAACTAAACAATGCTTTTCTCCTAATCAGGAAACATTTCTGTTCAGAAGTCATCATTCTTTTTCTAACAAGACTACCAAATTAAAACTATTTGATTTATATTAATCCATCATTACAATGGATAGTTCTTCTTCCTTCATTTCTAAAGGCACAATGTACTATCTGCACTATCTAAAAGAAGCTTTGCACTGTAAGCATATGTACAGAATAAATACAACTTACATATGTACTCTGCAGTGTGGATGTATACCAAATTCTGCTCTATTTCAACCATTCAATCCAAACGGCGACAATGAGGGTGCATGGATGTAATGGTAGAATTTGGTACACTATCTACAGATAGAGAACTGTTAGGCCAAAATGCATGGTCAAAAATAATTTATGTGAGGTGCTTCAATCTTTCACATTTTTTGAGTGAGCAGAGGCAATTCATTTTGAACAGGAAATGGATCAAATGTTTGAATGCAAATGCTTTAGAATAGATAGTTAATAGAATTCAAGCTGCGAAGACAGGCTGAAGTTACATTTTTTAAATGTATGCCAATCTCATGCTCATTAATGCGAGAGGCTAACAGCACCGTACAGAGCAAAACCTGATTCAAAGAGGCCTCCACGGCTCCTCCCAGGACATGACCTGCAATGTCATTGCTATCAATTCAAAGCCACTCTTGAGCAATCGCTATCCTAGGAACCTGAGCCATGCTTTTCTGATGTGAACCAGTCTCCCCTACACAGAGGCCAATTCATTGTCACCTATGACCATGCCCAGGATTACAGTTCACGACTCCAGAAGTTAGAATCTTTGTGGACTAAAAAAAGTCTCTGCACGATTCATCTCAAATGTCCTAACATGGGCATGTCTGCTAGAAAAGAAATATAATGAAAGAGGTATCTGTATCAACACAAAACCACATTATCTGGACACACACTGCTGGAAATAAGAACAATACAAGACAAACCTTTGCAACCATGAAATTGAACAACTACCATGAATACTGCCAATCCTGACAAACAGCAGAATTTAAGCAGGAGAGAGTGCATTATGCAAACTGAAGCCATGAATTTAACGATACTTGCCTTGGAAAGGGAAGACAGATTTTTCAAAACTTGTCAAGAAAGCGGTATCAGTTTTTCAAGCTAGAAGTGATTTAATACTTTCTAAATACTGCAGCAAACTGGTCAGGCTACATTCTTGTGAAGTTTTTCCTCAATTTAAATTGCTTTACTCATGATCATTAATTAAGACTACCATACCGTAAACAATAGTTCCCACAGTTAATCATAGCACTTCCAATAATTTTGCTTCGGTCCTGTAACAGAAAAGACAGACAGTTCTGCATGTGATACATGTCTCTCACTTTAAAATACAATCTCCCAGCCTGCAACAGGCAACACATATAGTCAACTTCTTTACTCTGCATGGGTCTGCAAGCAAATAGTAAAGAAAAAACACCCATAAACATTTTAAGGTCACTTGTTTCAAATTTTTTTTAGTATATTTAAAATGGACAATTTTGATTAGTAAAGATGTGAGATGCCTACCCACTTCCAAACAGAAACATACCAACCTCCCAGACTGTCTTATAAAACACAACTTCACAGACATTTTATTTTGCATATATAAACAGTTGGTGCCATTGAATAGCACAAAAATGCTAAAAAGAAAACTTGACCGAGTTTCATAAAACTGAAGGGTCTAATTTTTACCTGGTATCCCTTTAGGTAGTCAAGGGTTCAGATGTAGATAGCGCTTTCAAAAACAGACCCAAAAAAGGCAGTTTTAATATTCCCTGATATCTCAAATTGCTTAAATGCTAAAGAGCTCATGCAAATGTAGCCTGTGCTTTGTTCTTGTAGGAGTACTGTATTTTGGATTCATTTTTGAAACAAACGTATCCTCTACAAAGACCAATCCATTTTCCAACTTCTCTCAAAGGGCTTTGGAAGATATTGTCAATAGTGTTTTATTTCAGCAACGAGGTTTGCTTTCCAATAAAAGCCAGCTTTTCAATGAAAAGTTTATACCCCCAAACAGACTGTTTGTGAGACTCCAAATCATGGTTTCCAATCTGATAACTACACACAAGGGTGCAAATAGGTCATTGCATAAAATTTGTTTTCAGTGCAGTAAATTCAGGGCAGCTGAGCGCTATTACCAGCTACTTTGGCAATGAGGTACTTCTCTTTCCCCACCCACCCCTTTCCCTCCCACATTATAGACCTATGTCACAAAATAAGCTTGTTGGTCACTTGCTGGCTAAATTTATTAGGGTACTTTTTAAAATACCTTTCTCTCAACTTCAAACTATAAAAGCACCTTTGGCTTTGTGTTCAAAGCAAATTAATGTTATGAGCTGCAGGAGAGATTTTATCCCTCTGAACGGAACCACACAAGCAGTTCAGTTCAATATTCCAGTAGACCACTTAGCTCACAATGTTGCTTGTCAACAGCATCTCCTTTAAAATAAATGTTTGTCCTTTAAAACCGGAGTCGGTAACCCACAGGTTATGCCGTTACGGTTTCCACAGCAATGTCAGTAGGCTGCTCCGTTTCCACCACAGTTGCTGCAGACCCTTCCATTTCCTCTGACGATACCACAACTGCATCCACCTCAGCAACCTCTTCAACCACTGTAAGCTCAGCACCATTGGGCTGCTGTCTTGCCATGGCTTCAAGCTTTAGCCGGTATTGCTCCGCTTCCAGTTCTTTCTTCATTAGCTGGCTTCGATATTCTTGCGCCTTTCTGTTTGCCTCGTGCAACTGCTGCTGTAACATTTCCCTTTCGTTATCGTCCTACAAAACAAGACAGACTCTGACTAGTGCCCAAATGAGTCAGCAGCTTGTGCCTGGACCTGGGATGCAAGCACTAATACACAATACCTAGACACAGGTAAGAAAGGACAGACCAAGTGTCGAGAGAGATAATGGATGTCTCAGGGCATAGGGATACAAAGCCTTTTGCCTCTACTCATTGGTATATCTAAAACAGGGCTGGGTTATATCACCTAAGGGCTGATTAGTGGCCTATGTTAAGTGAAATCAAGTTGCACAGGGTATATGTTAAGGCAGAAACTGTCCACTGGTCTTTTCAGCAAGGTAGGCTAGGGACAGTTCTCTAGTATAAGTGACCCTTTATCTCCGTCTCTGGAGATATTTAAGAGTAGGTTAGATAAATGTCTATCAGGGATGGTCTAGACAGTATTTGGTCCTGCCATGCGGGCAGGGGACTGGACTCGATGACCTCTCGAGGTCCCTTCCAGTCCTATAATCTATGATTCTAGGATTCTATAATCTATGACCCCATAAGGATGGATTAGTGGGGTTTCCATATTTCTTTATCATCCAGATGCAAAAGCAACAGTGTTGGCAACTGGGGAGAGGGCTAGAGAAACAGACTAAACAAAAAAAGAATCCACAACACCTAGTGGCCCCCAAAATCAAAAGGGAAGTTCTGCCACCACAAAAAACCACACTTATCCAGCACCCTCCCATTTGGAAGGATAGGTAATCTGACTTTCTTTAAAACAGCAGCTGGAATGTGAAGAATGGTCAGTCTTGCATTGGATCTGTTCTCACTGCAGTTTTAGAGGGAGTTCTAAATAATAGAGCAGAGTACAATGCTTCAAATCAATAGACTGGGCTCAAAAACTAACTAACTGACAAGATTACACAAAGAGTGACTTGGAAGAGACTCTTCCTTCCACCACCAGCGACTCAATTGCTAACACCACTTGCCCTGTGGCCTAGTGGGCAGAGCACTTCACTGCCATGCAGAAGACTTGGGTTCTTATTCCCTGCTCTGCCACTGGCTTGCTGGGTGACAGTATGCAAGTCACTTCCCCCCTCGCTGTGCCTCAGTTTCCCCCTCCTTAAATGGAGACAATGATACTCACCTTGGTAAAACATCTGATATCTACTAACAAACAGCACTACATAAGAGTTAAGTGGTATTAATGTATTGCATATTAACTGACCATACAGACTGAGCAGAAAGAATGAGAAACATTATAGTGAGAGTTTTCAGAAATGGGAAAGACATGATCATTGACGAAATTTAAAATCAACTTGGGCCACATCATTTATATTGAGTGTTATTTTTTAACTATACTTGAAACCCTACATTCTCAGTTCAGTGCAGACTGACAGTTTAGACTGCACCCATTTTCTATGAAAGAAACAAACAGGAACTTTTACCTTGTTTTCTTCCAAATCATTTACATTTTGGTCAATTTTTTGCTTCTTTGCTGGTGGATGTTCTTCCTCTTCTACATCATCATCTTCTTCTTCAATAACAGTCTCTTCTGCAACCTGACCAGCAGGTACAGTTAGAACTACAAGTCAAGGAATATTAAATGCAGGAAATGAATATACAATGGATTACAGATGCTTTCGTACATAAATCCAGAGACACAGATTACTTCAAAATTAATGCATGAGGGAGGTGCTCCTCTGCACAGAAGTGGTGGGAAACTTAAATCAGTAATTCCTAAATTCCACTGAAGGGACACAGAACTTCTTATCAAGTCCCGGGCTACGTTTCCTTGTTCATATCTTGCATTAAGACATCCTATTTGCTACAGCAAGAAGAAAGTTTCAGAGCCCATTCACCACCTAGCTGGGAGAATCTTAAGTCAAAGGTAAATGTTTTTTGTTAAAAACTTCCCCTATTTTAGGGAATACCTATAGTTCTTTCATCATCCTGTTCTTGTCAATAGCATAACAACTGAATTAAGAGGGTACATAAAACTTGTGAATATTCCAGAGCACAAGTACATTATAAATACATAAACAAGTTTTTGTTCAGGGAACCTGATATGTAACATTTAATTCTATCAGAAACCGATCATATTTAGTTGGGGATTGGTCCTGCTTTGAGTAGGGATTTGGACTAGGTGACCTCCTGAGGTCCCTTCCAATCCTGGTATTCATGATTCTAGGATATGAACTACTGTGTTCTATCAAAAGTGTTTAATTAGGAACATTGACAGAACAAGCTACAGATCAATAATTATATGTAGACATTTGGCAAATAATTCTGAATAATAAATTTGAGAAAATTGCTTTCCATTCATGGATAGTTTGCAAACAAACAGAGGTGAAATGAAAATAAGTACCGTAGATACTTGTTCATAAGCCGAATTTTTTTAGTAAAAAAGGGAAGCACCAGAGAAGGGGGTCGGCTTATGAATGGGTATAGAGAGGGAGAGGTGGGACACAGCCCCTCCCCCCAACAGAGGGAGCAAGGAGAGGCAGCACAGCTAGAAGGGAAGAGGTAGGGCCAGAATCTCTCCGCTTCTGGCCATGCTGCTCTCCCCCAGCCTCTGAAGCAGCTGCAGCTCTGGGGCTGACAGGCTGCGGCCGCGCCGCCCGGTCTGGCCCGCCGGAGCAGGCTGTGGCCAGGTCAGAGACATCTGCCCCTGGCCCTCCCCAGATAAGGTGGGAAGGGATGAGATGGGGAGAGTGTGGGGGATGGTCACAGGGGTTACTCCCCTGACTCCCAGCTTCTCCTCCCCAAAAAATTTCCCCACCAGTTGCTGTCCCGGCCCAACAGGGTAGGCAGCTGGTGTGCCGGGACACTTTGTTTACTTAGTATCAGAGGGGTAGCCGTGTTAGTCTGAATCTGTAAAAAGCAACAGAGGGTCCTGTGGCACCTTTAAGACTAACAGAAGTATTGGGAGCATAAGCTTTCGTGGCTAAGAACCTCACTTCTTCAGATGCAAGAAGTTTACTTAGGTTTACCTCTGTGCCTGCGGACGTTCAAGGTAAACAAACCATCTTGGCCCGCCAACGGCTTATCCTTATGGCCCGGGAGCCAAAAAGTTTGCTGATCCCTGAATTATAGGGTTGGCTTATGAACGGGTTATAAAAATTTCCATTTTTACTTATCCATCTTGGTGGGGTCGGCATATAAATGAACTGGCTCATGATCGAGTATATACGGTAATTCATTATGACTGGTCTGCCTCTCTGTAAACTACCTATAATTTTGCATAGGTTTGTGAAACTGACAGATTAGGATGATCTAAGACAATATAATTAGAGTAATGGGATGAAAAGGTATACTTAACCTGACAATCAAGAAGGGGGGAAGGATAGTTCAGTGGTTTGAGCACTGGCTTGCTAAACCCAGGCTTGTGAGTTCAATCCTTGAGGGGGTCACTTAGGGATCTAGGGCAAAATCAGTACTTGGTCCTGCTAGTGAAGGCAGGGGGCTAGAACCTTTCAGGGTCCCTTCCAGTTCTAGGAGATGGGATTGGTTCCTTATATATGGAGATATCCTAGCCTAGCTGGTGGGAATGCACCAGATAACCTAATAGAATTTATGATAAATATTTATCATTACACATGTTTCACTCATTTTAATTCAACTATTAATATTAAAATAAAAATGTAGTACTATGTGTTAAATTAGAACGATTATGTAACTAGCTTCAGTCATAAATCTTAATTCTCCTCTCCATTCTTTTATAGAGCTCACTTGGAAGGTACACATTTGTAGCAGCACACTACAAGCAAGCTGAACTATGTAATGGCCTCATTTTTCCTTCCCCTTCCTCCCCCCATGCCTACTTTCCCGAGATTCACAGACCTAAGTCTCTCTCTATGCATCTACCATAGCTTTTTTTATTTTTCTTAACATTAGGAAAGTCTAAAACTGGCTTACGGTTTTCTAAACTGAGTAGCCTCTTACCTTGCTGTCCATCTTGCATGGTCACTATAAACGGCTGGCTGATACCACTAGTAGGAATGGCTGTTTGGAGACTGCCCAGTGGAACGCCATCTGTTACTATCGTAATGACTCGTTGACCTCCACTGCCAACCACCTGCTGTATTGCAGAATCTACAGAATTTGCTTCCACTATTTCCTCTGTGTTAGCTAGAGAAAGCAGAGCAAAACTCCCAAGTTTATTTAAAATTAAGAAAAAGCTACACTTGGAGTAAATGAGTCAATGTTTACTGCACAAGAACTGCAAACACTGAAGCATCTGCTATGGAGTAATCTGCAAATGTTAAAAATCTAAAATGGACAAAATAAAATACCAATACAAGCACAGCAACTTTTCAATGGTAAGATACCTAGATGAATTTAAAGCACCAGCATTCACAAATAAATACAGTAAAAAGTACTCTGTCTCTGAAAAAAATGGGTTCAAAGGTTTAAAAAAAGATTACATAATGTTTGCTTTTAAAAGATGGCCAACTTGATCATTCTAAAGTCAACTGGTGGTTTCCACACTCTGCACATTGTACATATACCATAAAGCAGTGGTGCTCAACCCACGATCCAATCAGCATACAGCTGTGACCCATGTGACATCCTCAGGGCCATGTAGGAAGTATATATATTGTGTGGCCGCAACCCACATAACAAAGAGCTGCATATGTGGCCCACAGTGGGAAATAGGCTGAGAATCACTGCCATAAAGCATCAAACAATTTAGAATAAAGTACTGTAGAACCCTGTTTTATAAACCAATTGGGACTAAGGAGTTCATAAAATCAGAAAGTTCAATTTTATGAAGATCTCAAAATTACAGCAGGCACAGTGCATAAATTGCAGTTTGGTGCTGTGAATTATTTTCTTCTTGTCCTTCAAAACCACTGCAAAGCAATTTCCAATACACTGATGGCATCAGACATAAAGGGGTGTCAACTTGCTCAACGACATCACTTTTACCATGCGATTATTTCCCCCTCTCGGGTCAGGAAAAATAGTTCATGTAAATGGATGTTCATAAAATTGCGATTCTATGGTATGCATAAAAAGAATCCAAATGTTACCAAGGCCTCAAGACAGCCTAACACTTAAAAATAAATAAATAGATAAACAAACCACAATGAGGCTTTGTAAAATCAGGGGGAACATACAAAATATCGAGGTGGCAATAAAATCATTCCAAACTATGTTTTGTAAAACTGGAGTTTGAAAAAAAATATCACTGTCCATATTTGTGTAGTAAGGAGCATCTGACAGAGATACAGGCTCCATCCTATTCTATTTTTATAACACGTAGTTGGACAGAACAATTCTAACAGGATCCAGGTGAAAACAGGATAGAGTGAAAGACTGGTTAGTAAAAAATACGTTGGTGCTTCATTCAAAGAAGTAACTATTGTCTGTAGAAATATCAGAGCTATGACAATAGATAAATCTATTAGCCTTCCAACTATTGCCAAATATTATATCACTTTGCAACTCTCAAGTTATGCTGAATGAATTCAAATCCTTTTTACAAGCTATACTTAAGTAACCCAATTTTCTTATGATTTCTTGCAAATTATACACTAGGGACTAAATACATTGATGTCAACGCCAGATTCATCCCACCTACCTGTAGATCTGTTTGAATTGGAAAGGGGAGCTGATGCTTCAGCGAGGGCTGCAAGCGTGGCAAGCACAGAGGTTGTTGAGTTTGAAAACTGCACTGTAGATACACGGGAATCACCTGTTTTGAGGAAATGAAGGCAAGTGAAGGAGATTTGCAATCAGAGTATTCTACTATACTATTAAGACTACTAAAAGAACCGTTCAAGCAAAAAAAAAAAAATGCTGCCAAAAACCTACTGCTTTACTGGGGCTGTTTTTCCAGCCTACAATTCATACCTAGCATACCCCACTTCAAGATCTGAAACAGTCCCACATACTGTTCTGAGAACATATTGAATATTCATTTTACTAGATTTAAAAATAAATGTATTGGAAACAATGCAAAGGAATTAAATGGAGTAAACTGATGCAAGCTAACATGACTTACTCCAGCATTGTCACAAAGATCACCTTCAAGTGGCCAGATGGTAATCCACTGGGCTATCAAAATCCAGATTTTGGCACCACAATTAGCTTTCATTCTGAACAGATGTGAACAATGTTTTCAAAGCCACACATGATCAAAACACAAGGCCTCACCAGCACAGAATAGACACAGTCTGAACACATTAGCATTATGCAAAAGCGGTTGCTATACATTTAATGATATTTACTTGACTTTGCAGTGTCACATTAATTTCAATTACAGAATTGCAAATACCAAATTTTTTTTTAAAAGCCTGTTGACATAAGCTAATTATACAACCCAAGTTTTTACTGTGAGATTTTGCCAAAGTATTGACTCCGTTCAGCATTGCTTTTTAGAAAACACATTTTGATTGTTACAAATCAAAAATCAGAGCTTTTTCTTGAAAGCTAAATCAGTCAATTATAACCACTTAGTCATTTCAATGTATGGTCTGAAAACCAGTTTCACAAAATAAGCCAGTCAGTCGAAACGCAACAAAGGAACTGGTGTAAAGACTATCAGAGTCAGCATATCAAGTTCTTGAACTGCAGATTCGGCTTTGTGCAAGGAATAAAAATCATCCCAATTCCAGTGCAAGACGCTTCTTCCCTCAACTGAGCACAGTAATCCATTACACTGAGACAGTAGTGACTGAACAGAAGAAAGAAAGAAATCTAAGTGGGACCAAAATTAGTATATTCAATATGCTATTTTCAGAAAGTTGTAACTTTTTTATTTCTGAACAAAATTTCTTCAGGCAAATAAAAGACATTTGTCCTCATTAAGGAGTTTGTAGTTTTAAATAAACTTTTTAGTCACCTATGAGCAAGAAGTGGTACAAAAAGTGTCTTAACTTATGAAAAAAACGTTAAACTATTACTTGCTGTGATTGAAGTACAGTCTCTAATGCCCTCTTGTGGGCAAATAAGATAAATGCTAATGACATGTTGGGATAAGGGTTTGCTGGTCCCAACAGACCAGGAGTTACTATTGACAGGAGCAACAGAGGGTCCTGTGGCACCATTAGTCTTAAAGGTGCCACAGGACCCTCTGTTGCTTTTTACAGATTCAGACTAACACGGCTACCCCTCTGATATTGACAGGAGTAAAGTTTTAGAGTGTGGCACCCAAAAAGAACAAAATGGGAAAAATATATTGGCCTTTTCATATTTTTAACATTAATTGGGTACATATATTGCGGGAATGTCCTGGTTTTAGGACAAGGTGTGACATTATCCATGTGAAGCTCTTTTAATCCTCAGGTGGTGGTTGGTTTTTTGGGGGGAGGGGGGTGTTAATTACTTCGGCAGCACATATACTAAAATTGGGATCTGTCAACTTAATAAAGGAGTAAACCACATGGTAAGTTTCTACTCAAAGTAAATTCAGAGTCTCACTGAAGTCAATGGGGCCACACACAAGATTAGGGTGCCGATTGCAGCATTGGGCCCTTAGAACTGAAAACAGGAAACATCCACATTTGTAATATTGCTCCAATCAACTCTGGCAAACACTCATGCATGTGAACAGTCCCATTAGCTTCAAAAGTTACTCACATGCAGAAGTGTTTGCAGGGTCAGGCCCTCAACTTGCTTCACAAACCTTGTATTTAGAAGCCTCCTTAAGACTGAAAAGAAACAGTAGTTTGGATTTCCCAAATATAACAAAAAACAACACGTTATAAGGTCTCACGTAAGGAAAAGAATTTATATTCGGCCTTAAATGAATTTTTCAGACAAATTTACGGAAATAACTAGCTTCCTCATTTTTTATCTCATCTCTAATCTATTGACTAGGAAAAAATAAGTTGAGTAACCTGTACACCTAAGATAAATGGAAAATCATTGCAGATAATGTGTTTCCTTATTTGACATTCAAATACACGAGACGACTCACTCTGCTCTTCCAGTTAATAAGTAATAAAACAGAGTATTGAATGAATCCTTGACAAATTTAGGGATCAGGTACCAAATGGTGAATATCTACTCAAATTTTACTAGTGGAACTGGCATTGGCCACTGTCGGAGGACAGGATACTTACTGGGCTAGATGGACCTTTGGTCTGACCCACTATGGCCGTTCTTATGTTAACTACCAGTGCATTGTAATTTGAGTCCTTTACATTTCCCAAGTTACGAAGGTTCTATTTTATTGCTTATAATACACACCGAGCCAGATCCTCAACTGGTGAAAATAGCAAAGCTCTCCGCTGACTCAATGGATCAAGGCTTTTCATGCCAGCTTAGGTTCTGGCCCATTATCTTTTACAGATAAAGTGTATATTTTGATAGGACGGATATTTTAGTGCATTCCAATATGTTTTAAAGAACTTTCTCTACTAACTTGAAACATCTGCCTTCTATAATTCAGAAGACTGAATTGAGAAATGCAGCTTTCTAAAAACCTTTACACAAGAAATATTTTGGAGAAACATTTTTCGCCTACATGTTCACAGAATCTTACCTGAGGTTGTTTTGGTGTTTGCTGAAGAAACAAAACTAGCAAGATTGAGAACTTCCCCTGATGCAAGGATAAATGGTGAGGCAACAGTCACTGTATTTGTGACAGGATTTGATCTCTCTGGATTCATGTTCACCTGATTCTGCATTGCCTCCTTAAGAAGAAAAAGCACACCGTTGATCTCATCTCCAATAAGAGAAATAATACTTGGCATCCATACAGCATTTTGGGGGCCTGATTCTCTGCATCTTGTGTAGTCAAATAATTGTATTTGCTTTGCACTGGTGCAAAAGTAGGTGTAAAATACTACCAAATCAATCAGAAATGGCAGCGTTTTACACTAGTGTAAATCAATACACAAGTTGCAGGGCAACAGAGAATCAAGCCCACTATTTAAATAGCCTTTTCCAAACATTAACTAAGCAACCGTGTAATAACATTAAAATAATCTGCTTCTTCCATTCCCATTTCCCAGAGGCATGTTTCCACAAACATTCCAACAACAAGAGTCAATTCCATGAGTCCAGAAGCAGAGTTTCTGAAGAACTGCGTGTATGCAAAGAAAACCAATGCAGCTCAGAAATGATGAACATTATTCTCCAAATCTACTACCTTAGTGATGAAGAAACTAATATCAATTGACATTGCAATATTTTATACAAGTTACCACAATTCTGATTCAGGCATGCAAAAGAGAGTTTCTGTAGGAAATGTTCATTCTCATCGCATTGGCAAATGCAGTAGGCAGATAGCTGATAATTACAGGGAAAGTCCGTTCACAAATGTCTTCCTTAACCCACCTGCAGCATTACCAGAGTCTCTGCATTGTTCTTGTCCAGGGCTATATCAAAGGCTGATTTATCGAACTTGCTGAAAGCATGAACATCAGCTCCATACTTTATAAGCAACTCTACAACATCGCGATGGTTGTGTTCTGTTGCCCAGTGCAAGGCAGTCATCTTCAACATGTCCTTGGCATTTACATCAGCACCATTCTGAGAGAAATAAAAGCATTGCTTTAAACTATTTTTTTCAGAGCATGGCCTCTCCCTGATTCAAGAGAAACATGCTAAACACAAGAGGTGGAATCACAAAGGTACTTCTGCACCTAAATACCAGACTTAGGCAGCTACGTCCCAGTTTTGGTTCCCCTGGAATCCACAAAACTCCTGCCGAACCCTACAGGTGCCTAAACTCACTCAGCGCCTACTTTTGTCAGAGCAAGAGTTCCCTTGGCACCTATGTTCCTGCCTCTGGGTATGTGCACTGCTGCCTACTTCCCACCAAAGCCCCAGCATGAACGTGGTTCACGAACAAAGGGGAAGACAGACATTTGGCCAACTAAGACACATGCAGGGCTTGATCCAGTAGGCATGCTCAGAGGTGCTTGAGGCACGACTCCAAGTGGCAGGTTCCCATTCGTAGGCAGATGCCTCCCTGTAGCCCAGAGTTAGGCACCTATCTCTGACAGAAGAGCAGAACATAGCACACGCCCCTCATTAGCGTCTCCCCTTGGTAGCTTAGGGTGGAGCTGCCTACCATGCTGGCTTTTGTGGATTGCATTCTAACATCTATCTCCCCTCATTCGTGGTATGGAATATAGACACCTTGCCCAGCTTTGTGGATCACAGTGTTGTCCCTGGGAGCGTCTAGGCACCTAAAAGTTAAGTGCCACCATCATGCTCAGCATTGCAACGTCTAAGTCCCTTCATGATCCCACCCAACGTGCTGTCAAATATGTGCGTATGCATGCGCACACACACCACTTAAGAATTTAGAGATTTGCTTTGGTACTAATTTCTTACAATTATACTCATCCTAGGTATTATTTGTTACAACGGGTAAAACAATTCAGACAATAAGATTCTTTACGCAAACAGTGTTGCTTTAACGTCATTCTGAGCTTTGTGCTTCCTGTTCTCCTGCACAGGCATCACACTGTTTTAAATCAGCATTTCTCAAAGTGGGGGTCCCGACCCAACAGGGGGTTGCACGACTATTGTCGGGGATCACGGTATTGCCACCCTTCCTTCCTCCTTCCCACCACAGAAGGGGGGGAGGGATAGCTCAGTGGTTTGGGCATTGGCCTGCTAAACCCAGGGTTGTGAGTTCAATCCTTGAGGGGGCCACTTAGGGATCCGGGGCAAAATCAGTACTTGGTCCTGCTAATGAAGGCAAGGGGCTGGACTCGATGACCTTTCGAGGTCCCTTCCAGTTCTAGGAGATTATATTATTATAAATGGAGATATCCTAATAAAGGGTGGCATGATATGGGAATGAGGGGTGGGGGTGTTGTCACAGCCTGAAATATTTTCAAAGGGGGGCCCAGCAAAAAAAAAAAAAAGTTTGAGAACCCCGGTTTTAAATCTCCTGTAGTTATCACTAAATTAAGCAGTGATTTCATTGAACAATTCTGAGGTTTTCCTTAGAAAAGTTTTTTAAATGATACTTAAGAGGGGGAAGAAGTTTTGTAATTCATCCTACCAATAAAAATATCTAATTGGCATTGATCGACCAATAACTTCTTCACAGAGAGTAATGCCTAATAAGGGACATTACAACGTAATTGATCGGATTTATATTCTGCAGATTGATACACAACATCTCACTTACCCTAATTAGCAGTTCTACAATATGTGTATGTCCATCAGCTGCAGCCATATGCAATGGTGTCCTGTCCACTTTGGTTCGAGCATCTCTGCTAACACCTGCTCGAAGCAGCACTTCTGCTGTTGAATAATGGCCATACTGGGCCGCAAGATGAAGAGGTGATGTCCCGAGCTGTATATTAAAAAATGTTTTTAAAAAAAGTTCTGTTCAACGTAGGTGTGGAAGCACATATTTATCTCCATTAATGTGTTCAGCAATTTTAAAGAATTAGAATTACACCCCCACCATATCCCCCACAGTAGGGGAGGTACAAACCCTTAAGTGCACAATGGCAAGGGGGGAAAAAGCCACCTGGCCAGAGGGCTGAATGTCAGGAAGTGGTAGAGGGCTGAGTTAAATGGATAGATCACCATGGGGTCTGGAGAGCAACTACTGGCAGGGGGCACCCAATGCAGAGGGATGGCCATGGTATGCTCTGCCAGAAGGGGGAAAACCAACCAGCAATTGACCCTGCAACAAGCACCAATTATATAAATGAATGATTGGGATTATAGTCCGTGCGTAGATAGCAAACAAAATTAGATTGTGATCACTTGCACCAAGGCAAATGTTAAAAAATAAACTGATCACTGAACTAAAGTTCTGTCAAATGAGATCTGATATAAAATTACTTTAAATGAAACATTTAAAACATATCCACAAAAAAGGCATTAGCTGCCAATCAATACGGTTGGCTGTTCTAATTCCCTCTTATAACCTTTAAATTCAGTATTTAAATGTACTTAGCAAGTTAATATAGTTTGAAAAACATTAACACTTAAGGATGACTTTAAAGAAGACTTAAAAGGAGCGATCAAACACCCCCATACAAAAGAACAGGTAAAAAATTGCTCAACATTCTATAACAGCGGCACCCAAACTGGTTACACTGGCAACGTACCAGGAGTATGAATGCCATGCTTCGGCCCCATCCTTTAACTACACCTCCACCCCGATATAATGCAACCCAATATAACACAAATTCGGATATAACACGGTAAAGCAGTGCTCCGGGGAGGGAGGGAGGGGACTGCACACTCCGGTGGATCAAAGCAAGTTCAATATAACGCGGACCTATAAGTGGTAAGATTTTTTGGCTCCCGAGGACAGCGTTATATCGAGGTAGAGGTGTATTTAAATCCATACTTAACTTTACTACCCCAAACTAGTCCCACTTACTCCAATGGGGCTACTCCATGATAGTAAAGTTATTCACAGGGTAATTCCTCCTGCAGGAACAGGGGTCAACCAATGTTGACCCGCTTTCAGGATCAGGGCCTAAGTCTGCATAAACACTTCAAAAGTGTATGAATGGGAATGCTTGTTGCTTGAATTTCCCAGCAATGAAATGCTAGTTAATCAGTCTGGTCGTCACACAGTTACAGAGCGAGGGTGCCCAGGAGCTAAGTTAGGACTCTCAACGTCTTCACTACCGTAGTAATCGATCTATCAGGGATCGATTTATCGTGTCTCGTCTAGACGCGATAAATCGATCCCCGAACGCGATCCCCGTCAACTCCGGAACTCCATCAGGGCGAGAGGTGGAAGCGGAGTCGACGGGGGGAGTAGCGGCCGTCGATCCTGCACTGTGAGGACACGAGGTAAGTCGACTGAAGATACGCAACTTCAGCTACAAGAATAGCGTAGCTGAAGTCGACGTATCTTAGATCGATTCCCCCTCTCCCCCCCCAGTGTAGACCAGCCCTTAAGATTATTGCCTACTCCTCAGGCTGCCCTCACAGGATCTGTTCTATATTTTAGTTGGAGTAAACACCTTTAAGGAAAAAGTAGCCTTTTCTATTAAAAACATACCCAGTCAGTGGTGAAAGGAGCACCATTTGCCATTAACGTTCTAACTTCATCATCTTGCCCTTTGCGAGCTGCTTCTAGCAACCTCTTTCCGAGGTCCACTAACGACATCTTTATACATGGGAACAAATATTTTCTGAAAGCTGCATTTTAAAACAGAAAAAAAAAAACACTTTAATGTGCAATATGACTAAAATATCGTCAGCTAGACTAGGACATAGATTGATTTCCAGTGTGCATCTAAGCCTGATATGACCAGTAAATTACTTAATGAGTTCAAGTGTTTATGAAAATATATATCTTTTTAATGTTCAGTACTTGCAACATGATAGGACTGCAAAATGCAACCCTGATCCTGCAACTGGATCAGCTGATACAGACCAATGGCTCAAGTGTACCCCTGTTGACTTCAGAGGCTCAGCATGGACTTGAGTCCAAGTCTACAATAGCAACAGCAACACATAGTACTTAGTAAATACAGCATTTTACAAAGATTAGTTACTTCATCTTCACAAACACCCCACCCCCAGGAGCGAAGGGGCTGATAACCTTGTCCTCGTCTTACAGCTGCCAAACACTGAAAAATAAAGTGACTTGTCCATGTTCATAAAGGCAGTCTGTTTTAGAGCTGGAAATAGGAACTTCTGCGTTAAGTCTACTAAGCAATGCTGCCTCTGTTTTTCAAGCTATACTTTAAAGGTATAATAAATAGGTTAATCGGGGGATCTGAAGTTTTTGTCTGACATAGATACAGTGGCATTTCATTCCTATGAAGAACTGACATGAAGCCTAAGTATTAATTTATGTGCGAGGCTCTTCAAATGGCTACAAGTGAATGTCTATGCATACCAGTACTGAACTGCACAGTTAATCAGTGAATCCATCAGATCTTTAACTGAGAGAAAAGCTTTATGAAAAAAGTATCACAGGGTAGCCGTGTTAGTCTGGAACTGTAAAAGCGACAAAGAGTCCTGTGGCACCTTATAGATTAAGGTTAGTCTATAAGGTGCCACAGGACTCTTTGTCGCATTTTATGAAAAAAAAAAGTTATACCACTTCATTGAACAATTCAACAGAAGTGTCCAAATATACCATAAGTAACCCCCAGTACGTAAATGACAGTAAAACAATCTCTTTTAAAAAAACCTAATTCTCCTCAAGTAACATAGCCAATGTAAAATTTCCCATTTTACATGATGATATTTTAAACTTAAGTGTGCAATTATTATATGCCAAGTATTAAACATAGAAGGCAGGAGTGTGACCATTTTTAGCTCGGTCATAAAAACCTGATGTTCAAGGAAACAAACTTGAAAGACGAAAAAAATCCTTGCACTATTTCTAGTTGTTCATACAGCTTGCATGACGACATCTTAAAAGGGCCACTTTAAAGAAGCTCCGCATCACTCTAAAGCAGTCTGTATTCCTTGCTGAACCTTTTAGGTGCGACCCCATTCCCACAAATGCTCACATATGTTTAACTTTGGCCCAATCCTACAGGAGTACCATGCAGCACAAAACAGGCACCCACGTGCAGAGCTCATTACAGGATCAGGGCCTTTTTGTACATAAACATTGACTTTGAGGCAATTGTGCACATGTGTAAACACAGGCAAGTGTTAGCAGGATCCTCATGGCCTTAGCTTCACTTACGCTGATTCTTAGTAGGGCAGCCTTTATTTTGAATGCTCCTTTAACCGTCTTCCAAGCCCCAGTTTTACACTTAACTTGCCACGCGTGAACAGCTCCGTTGAGTTCAATGTGCATAAAGCTAATCATGGGTGTAAGAATTTGCAGAATTGGGGCTTAAGGGGGGTGGTTTGGATTTATTTTAAAAACTGCAAAAAATGCAGTTTCTCTCATCGCACTTTAACCTAACTCTGGATTCATTATTGAACAGCTATAAAATCATCAAAATCAGGAGCCCCCCCTCACCCCCATGCTCACAATTCCCCCACCCTAGTCAAGGTCTCCGTAGGATCTGACACCTGAAACGTCCCTCCTCTCCAGCAGCAACAGGTGTCTTGAGAAAAGCTTCAGCTAAAAACTTATTTGTAACCTTTCAAGGGATCAGAATAAACGAGTAAAGCCCCGCACTCGTTTCTATTCATTCGGGGTCCAGGAGCACCTGCCCCCACCCCCAATGCTCTGCAACACCCCCTCCCTGCCAGCCCCTCAACCCCACAGAAGTGGGGATCCCCCCGCCCCGGGATTCACCCTCTCACCTCAGGCTCCCTCCCTTAGCCCCAACCTCGGGGGGGGGGGGCAAAGACCTTCTCAACCCCCAGCCTCCCCTCCAGGCAGGGTACCCCGCCTCTCCCAGAGACAGCCCCCCAAGGGGCCTCTTCCCCAAGTGACCCCCCCCCTAGAGTGACCCCACTCCTCCCACAAGGAGGGGACCCCCCCACTCACCCCTGCGAGGCGGAGGCGGCCCCCGGCGGCGCCAGCGTGGGGATCCCACGGGCCGGGGTAGGGGGTGGGGTGGCTGGGGGTTACCTGCTTTTAACTGCCCCCCCTCTGCCCGGGAGGGAGGGAGACAAAATGGCGGACCCGGAAGTGGAAGAAGGCCCCCCCCTCCCGCGGCGGAGGGATACACGGAGGGGGGAAGAGAACGCCTAAAGTCTCGAGCTGCTCTCGTCACACAGGCCCGCGGGGCACGAACCGTTATAGGGGGACAGGGGAGTAACAGTGTGTCGGCGGATCGCCTAGTGATTCACGGCTGTATCCCTCCTCCACGGGCCCCCAGGTCCCGGGCCCGCCCAGTGCGGCATAACTCGAGCGATCACTAACGGTTCACGGGCTTGGGGAGGGGACAACCCCCCCCATGCACCTGGATTATTTTTCTCCGCGGAGGGATACGACGGTGTTACTACAAGGGAGACGAGTGAGCGGGCGGACGCCCTGGCTGTAGTCCCGGCCTGGCGCTGGGCGGGCACTTTAGGCGCCAAGGATGAAAGTGAAGCGGGTGTTGCCAGTCCCCAGAGAGATTTTTTGTCCCAGATCCCTCAGTGATTCCCTCAAGTATTGAACTCACAACCCTGGGTTTAGCAGGCCAATGCTCAAACCACTGAGCTATCCCTGAAAGATCTTGTCTGATCTTCAGTGGGCAAAATAGTATTTACTCAATTTAGCAAACTCAAGGTGGAGTCCTAGTGAAGCCAAGGCACAGAGTAAAAATCATAAATGAATCAAACTGTACCATAGACTCACTGGATAGAAATCCCATGCTTGGATAATAAGAGTATAGCAGTAGGAATAATAGTCTACTGAGTCTCATGACCTGACTAGGATGGTGATGGTGATTGTGAAATGCTTCGGGAGATTAAAGAGGCTATAGAAATAGAAAACTAAGTACTAATGGGGGATTTCACAACTTTGCCCATATTGACTGGGTACATGTCACCTCAGGATGGGATGCAGAGATAAAGTTTCTAGACACCATTACTGACTGCTTCTTGGAGCAGCGAGTTCTGGAACCCACAAGGGGAGAGGCAATTCTTGTTTTAGTCCTAAATGGGAGCATAGGATCTGGTCCAAGAGGTGAATATCACGGAACCGCTTGGTAATAGTGACCATAATATAATTCCATTTAACATTCTTGTGGGGCAAAAAACACCAAAGAAGCCCACCACAGTAGCATTTAACTTCAGAAAGGGGAACCACACAAAAACGAGGAAGCTAGTTAAATGGAAATTAAAAGGTGCAGCCCCAAAAGTGAAATGACTGCACACTGCGTGGAAACTTTTTAGAAACATCATAATAGAGTCTCAAATTAAATGTATATCCAAAATAAAAAAACACAGAAAGAGGACCAAAAAAGTGCCACCATGGCTAAACAATAAAGTAAAAACAAACGGTTAGAAGCAAAAAGACATCCTTTAAAAATTGGATGTTAAATCCTACTGAGGAAAATAGAAAGCAGCATAAACTCTGGCAAGTCAAATGCAAAAGTGCAGGCCAAAAAAGAATTTGAAGAGCAACTAGCCAAAGACTCAAAAACTAAAGGAGCACTCAAGGAAGATGAGGCCATCATAGAGAAGCTAAATTAATTCTTTGCTTTGGTCTTCACTGCAGAGGATGTGAGGGAGATTCCCACACCTGAGCCATTCTTTTTTAGATGATAAATCTGAGGAACTGTCCCAGATCGAGGTGTCGATAGAGGTGGTTTTGGAACAAATTGATAAACAGTGAGGAGTTACCAGGACCAGATGGTATTCACCCAAGAGTTTGGAAGGAACTCAAATCTGAAATTGCAGAACTACTAATTGTGGTATGTACCTATCGCTTAAATCAGCTTCTGTACCAGGTGGCTGGAGGATAGCTAATGTGACACTAATTTTTTTAAAAGGCTCCAGAGGCGATCCTGGCAATTACAGGCCGGTAAACCTAACTTCAATGCCAGGAAAATTGGTAGAAACTATAGTAAAGAACAGAATTATCAGACACATAGATTAACACGATTTGAAAACATCTGCTCAATGTGAAGTGGCAGGCAAAAATCCCAACAGAATGTTGGGAACCATTAGGGAAGGAATAGATAATAAGACAGAAAATATCATAATGCCACTTTATAAATCCATGGTACACCCCACACCTTGAATATTACATGGAGTTCTGGTCGTCCCATCTCAAGACAGATATATTAAAATTGGAAAAGGTATAGAGAAGGGCAACAAAAATCATTAAGGGTGTGGAACAGTTTCTGTATGAATAGAGATTAAAAAGACTGGGACTTTTCAACTTGGAAAAGAAATGAGTGAAGGGGGATGTGGTAGAGATCTATAAAATCATGAATGATGTGGAGAAAGTGAATAAGGAAGTTTTATTTACTCCTTCACATAACACAAGAACCAAGGGTCACTCAATGAAATTAATAGGCAGCAGGTTTAAAATAAACATAAGGAAGTACTTCACAGAGCACACAGTCAACCTATGCAACTTCTTGCCAGGGGATGTTGTGAAGGCCAAAAGTATAACTGCATTTAAAAAAGAACTAAATAACCTCATGGAGTATAGGCCCACCAATGGCTATTAGCCAAGATGGACAGGGATGCAACCCCATGCTCTAGGAGTCCATAGCCACTGATTGCCAGAAGCTGGGAGTGGACGGCAGGATGGATCATTCAACGATTGCCTGTTCTGTTCATTCCCTCTGAAGCACCTGGCACTGGCCACTGTTGGAAGACAGGATACTGGGCTAGATGTAACTATTGGTCTGACCCAGTAGTGATGTTCTTAATTTCCCATGAGTTAGAGGGTTAAGGTAAATACTAGACTCCCCCATAGCTTTAACCCAAACGGCTTACCTGTGTGAAAATCATAAAACTGCCTTGTCTTCACTAGGATTGTACCTCATGTTAGTTAACTCCAGCTTGGTTTACGTTACAGTTAGATCGACGTAGGAAGCCATACATGGACCTACTTGTGCATGTGTTTATTCTCAAATTTGTCTCTGGCTGACGTAAGTGGCCCATTCTGGTAATGCAGTAAAACCACCTCCCCGAATGGTGCCACGCCATGGTCAAACTACTTTAGTCACCACAGTGTGAGTGTAGACATTACATGATCTGTGTCGACCCTAACGGTCCTTCAGTCACTGCCCCACAATTCCCCAGTCCCCATGACAGTTACTGCTCTGCTCACAATTTTAAACTCCACTGCCCAGGGGTCACAGAGACTGGAAGCCTGCCTCCTCCACTTTAAAAACCCTGCGTGTTTTTGACATGTCTTTTCCTGGTTGCTCCCCTTGGTGAGCACACCTAGCACCTCACCTTTGTTTGCGTCCAGCTAACCACGCTGGCTCCAGGCACACCCAGAGGTGCTAGAGCAGGCTAAAAGCATTGGATCTCCTGTGCCTGTGGAGAGAAGAGGCTGTTGAAGTGCAACTACGGGCCAGCCACAGAAATATCAACATGTACAAGCAGATTGCACGGGGGATGCTGCAGCCCTTGGGATTTTGCTTCCCCCCGCCTGGTGTGGTAGAGCTCGGGCTTTAGGGCAGCAGGGCTCTGGCAGGTCCAGGGCAGCAGGGCTCTGGCAGGTTCAGGCTTCAGTCCCCCCTCCTGGGGTCATCTAGTAATTTTTGTTGTCAGAAGTTTGAGAACCCCTGTGCTAGATTAAAGAGTCCTCTCATGGGCAGCAGGTGAAGCTTCCCCTTGGGGAGGCTAGCCCTCCTGCCCCGCCTCTTCCGGATGAGGCCCCGCCTCTTCTAGCTAAGGCCACACCCCCGATCGCTGCTCTCAGCGCCCCGTGGCTCTGGCCGGAGGGGAGGGCTGAGAGCTTGGTTGCAGTTGGGACTACAGCACCACCCCATGACTGCCACCCCGTCCATGGCCCTACTTCATTCCATCCCTTCCCCTGCAGCCCTGCCCCCATCTGCCCATGGCCCTGCCCCCATTCTGCTCCCACTACACCTCTTCCCCATGAGCGCCCCCCCCGCTCCTTTCCGCCCCACTGCCCCGCTGTGGCCCTGAGACCAGAAAAGCTCTTTGCCCCTGCCGTCTGGGACCATGGCAGAGGGAGATTTTTCCAGGAGCCCCAAATTGGCCAGGGCTCCAGGGCATGGTCCCCATGGGCGATAATCCGCTATTGCCCCCTCCCACCCCACAAGGTTTGGGAAGGCTTAGCCTTCCCCAGCCTCCATTACGCACCACCCATGAGCCCTCCACCGACTGAAATCTAGGTACCAAGAGACCATGATCAAGTCACCCCTTAACTTTCTCTTGGATAAACTAAATAGATAGAGATTCTTTAGACTTTCAGTCATTCTTGTAGCTCTTTGCTGAACCCTTCCCAATCTGTCAACATCCTTTTTAAAGTGTGGACACCAGAGCTGGACTCAGCATTCAGTGATGGTTTCTGCCGGTGATAAAGATAAGTCCCCAGGCACCGTGTAGCTGGGGTTGGTTATCTTGTTTCCTGTGCTCGGCATATATTGACTCTCTTTCTGTGATAATGTTTCTTACTGGTTGCCGGGGGATCGTCCTCCTGTGCCCCCTCTGTGCTGAGAAAGGGTGGGAAGAAATTCCAACCCACCCTGTACTTTGGAAGTCCAAGGTTCAACCTTGCAAGATGGCTGGCCTCCTCTGATGAATGTAGAAACCATTGGTAATATTTTTGTGAACTCTCTTGTGGCTCTGTACCCACCCCCCTCGGTATTGCTTGTTGGGAAAGAATTCATGTTCTCCCTGGAAAATCAGGACTAGGAGGTTGAGATACCGAGGCCCGAGGGCTGTCTGGGCTGGAATCAACACCTTTGAATGGGAGCCTGTAGCGGGGTAGACACCCGCTCCTGCCCTGAGGGGCTTAAAGCCACCCCTGGGAGAGGGCTGAGAGAAAAGCTGGGCTGATTGGGAGGCAGCCTCAGCTGGAGGACCTGCCCCAAACAGACCCAGCTGGCCCTATAAAGATCAGGGCAGCCAGGTGTTCAGAAGGCTCTCTCTGGTCTGAGAGGGAGCAGGGCCTGGCTGCCTAGCAGACAGGGTACTAGGAATGAAGCAGGGCTGGGGAAGGCCAGAGGAGCAGGGGAGCTCCTGGCTGGCAACTCTACAGGCTGCAAGGCCTGGTTTAAGGCCTAAAAGGGTACTGGGTGGTAGAGGAAGGCAGCAGGTCCAAACCCCCTTGCCT